TAATATTATAATATAATGTAATTACGTGATTCTATGGAATTAATTATCCACAGGTAAAGATTCTATTCGATATTACAACGAAGTGCCAGTGGAAAAGCGCGTCTTTAAGAATCTGCAACTCTTTATGGAAAATAAATCACCCGGGGATGATCTATTCGATCGTCTCAACACCACTGTGATGAATAAACATCTGAACGAGCTGATGGAGGGTCTTACCGCCAAAGTATTCAGAACTTATAACGCGTCGTGGACGCTGCAGCAACAGCTTGACAAACTAACGGACCCGAACGACACAGAGGCGGAGAAGATTCTCTCGTACAATCGAGCCAATCGCGCCGTCGCCATACTGTGTAACCATCAGCGTTCTGTACCAAAAACACACGCGAAATCCATGGAGAATCTAAAGGCAAAGATTGACGCGAAGAAAGAAGCCATAACCGAATGCGAGTTGCAAGTAAAGGACGCTAAACGAGACGCAAAACACGGCTCGGTGAAGGAAAAAGTGTATGTTATTTTTCATTTATATTATACATATACATATATCAAATAATAAATATTATTAGTAATAAATTCATAATAAATAATTAAATTTAAATTAATAAACAATAACAACTTATTTACGAAGTAAGTTATTATTTATTTAAATTTAATTAGTTATTATAAATTTTGTACATACACAAAGACTAGATATAATTTTAATTTAAATAATATTTTGCTTAAATGTAGAGACTGTTCTGTGACACACACTTGACAAACTTATTTACAAATTCTTTTTTTTTTCTTTAACACAAGAAAGAAAGAAAGCTAGGAAAAAGTGTGGCTTTGTATATATCTCATGTTTCTATATCGTGCAGCTTGTGTGCATGAATTGATTGCATCTATGCTTTTACAGAACATATGAAAAGAAGAAGAAACAATTAGAAAGATTGAAGGATCAGTTGACGAAGCTGGAGGTCCAGGCGACCGACCGAGAAGAGAACAAAGAGATCGCACTGAGTACCTCCAAGTTGAACTATCTCGATCCTAGAATTTCTGTTGCATGGTAAATAAATTGTGTATTTTTATCTAATTTCTTATAATTTTAATATTAATTTTATTATTTTACATTCTTTAGTTTTACCTTTTTATTTCATATATTTACAATTTATCTTTCTCTTATATATTTTATATTTTAATTAAATCTCTTTTCATATCTGTGCTTTTTGTTAATACCCAAACTATACTATATTAAATACTTTTTTTTCATTTAAATATTAATACTTCATGCATTATTTCTATCTTCCATGTCTGTATTAAATTTCTATGCTTCACCAGGTGTAAGAAGCACAATATCCCAGTTGAGAAGATCTACAACAAGACTCAGAGGGATAAATTCCGATGGGCAATAGACATGGCGGGTCCTGATTACGTGTTTTAACCCCGTGGGTTATCGTTATCATCGTCACCGTCAACGCGTATCGGCCCACGAATGGAGTACATCTCCCGCTGACGATGTATCTAGTGAATTTTACGTTCTAACGAGAAGCCAGGAGACTTAAAGTAAGACAAAAAAGGAATGATGAAAAAAAGAAAAAAAAGAACAGTGTAAACTGTACGAAAAAATTTTTTTACACTTACGTGGTATAAATGTGAGAGTGTGGGAACATATTTTCTATAGGATGATAATACAACGCATGCGTATTAAATCACTATTGCGATTGGTATACCTAAAGAGGTGTTAACTTAAATACCGTACGCGGATTCGAGCTTGTCTCGGGTCAATCGTACGCGCGTATTTTGCCACCGACAAAATGCTATCCACACCGCTAGCGCTTGTTCGTCTCTACGTGCCAGTTCGTGCAAGGCACTCTGACGTGATAATCCATAAGGATGATGATCAAGAGAAAGAACCTCGCGCATTGCGAGTAGCTTTTAAACGAGAATGGGAGGTTTATGAGTTTTATTTTGTTTAGGTAGAAATTTATTCTGACCGAAGTAGGAAATTAGCAAACAAATTTGTTCAGGCAAAAAAAGAAAGATCGTTTAAATTTGTTAACGGGCGTGCACGGAGTGCGGTGATTAATCTCACGAGGAGCACGAGATCGTAGTGAGCGTTTCGCGCCGACTTCGGCATGTGAGAAGCTAATAACTATTGTATATATGTAGGACATGGTCGTGCGAGTGAGATGCGAATACAGTTTATGCTATGTCGATATTTAAAAAAGAAAGAAGCAAGAAGAAAAAGGGAAAGGAAAGAAAGGAAACCAATTCTTGGAGCAGGCAGCTGAAGAATTTTGTATTTCCCATTAACGAGCGTAATACACACTTGTTTCTCTCATAAATGTATGATAATGTCATTCATCGAATATCACGTCTACATTTTGCAGCATCGTGTCGAAGACATTTATATGTATTCGTAGAACATATTCAATATAGTGCACTCCTTTTTTGATATATAAATGGAATGAAAGCAAAGCGGCTAGCAAATTTTCGCCGGATCGTGATTTGCCCCCCTTATCCTGCAAGCCTACGCGCCTCCAAAAAAAACTCGATAGTATAAAGAAATGCTGAATATATATATATATATATATACATATATATATATTTAAGTGAATTACATCGCTTTTAGCGATTTATGTTTTATAAGATGATGTCTCTAGGCTATAAAAATAAACGAGAAAATGTATCTCTTAATTTCTTACCGTTATTTGCACATATCTCGCGCGGACCTTGCTCGGAACTGAGTGGAAGGGTTACTAGGCGCACATATACACGCATGTATATACACATACATATACATTTACATAACCATATATATATATATATATGGTTATATATATATATATATATATATATATATATATATAAATTATATGTATTTGTATGTATATACATATGTACTCATATATATTTTATGCTCACTTGACGATAATAAGCATTAAAACCATAGCATTAAGCTTTTCATCTTCACAATCGAATCGCGAGACATTCTGGCGCATGTGCTTAATATATAAGACATACGTACGCATTATATATACCTAGGAGAGAGATTTCATTCGTCGTGACAATCTCTGCCTCTGTTGCTTTCGTTCTCCGCGAATTTTTTACATTGCGAAACCAATTTTAGAGTAGAAACTCTTGTCCCACTTGTAAAAATTACGAAATCAGGCGTCGGATTTACGGAGATCAGGAGGATCTGCGGGACAGACGCGACCTGCGAAATTCCGTGTTCGATTAAGAAGAAAAAAAAAATGTTAGACGCAGACTTACGTGATCTACGTAATTGTATTTTATTGTGTGACGGCGTGTGTCTCGGAAGGAGAGTAAAAATATCGTCTGTAATTCGCGCTAAAACTAATTTTTAATTTTTACCCTCGCCTCTTTGATTCGGATTCGTCTCGCGCTGTTGCGAAGTAAACGAACCGGCTCCGATCGTCGCGATTATTTTGCAAAAAAAAAAAGAAAGAAAATCATCGTTATTGTTTTGTTGAGCTTGTACATACGACAAGGCGCCGCTTGTTCTCGATCGGCCGAGGATTCGTATTTAAGCGTTCAACGCTTAGGGAACGAGGAACAAGGAAACGCGAGTCGCGCTCTGTTAACTATTTATCGGTCGGAACGCGACGAACCTATGTTACGTGCGAGCATCATATGCATAATTACTACTAATTAATTATA